ATCATATTTGCATAAGACTAGTTGAGCACGATTTTTTAAATTTTTGTTTGCTTGTATTAAATTTTTTAGTGCAAAGTGCAGAAAAAGTTGCAATTTTGCAGTAAATCAATCTTCCTGCTCCAGTTAATAATTATTAAACAATAAAAACGAGTTGAAAAGAATTTTAGGGTTTCCCCGAAACGAAAAAACAAATTTCCAAAAAAAAATTGAAATGATTAAAAAAAATCACAAAAATTGAGTATCTAGAAAAATGCTGGGTATGCAGCTTTATAGATAATTAAATTTTAGTATAATAAAGTGCAATTTGCAAGTGGCTAAGAGGTCGCGTTGCATGATAAATAGGAAATAAAAGCGTTTGTTATATTATTAAAAATCAGCGCAAACTCTTAGCCACTTCAAACTTGTCTTTATTATACTTAAATTTAATGATCTATAAAATTACATACCCAACATTTTTATAAAACCCAAAAACAAAAAAAATATAGTTTTGATGAAAATTGTTTCATAAAAAAAAATTTTTTTTTTTTGTTTTTGGAGACACAATTGTTTTCAACTAGTTTTTATAATGTAACATTTATTAACTTGCTAAATTAAAAGTTATACAAACAAAAAAATTCAAAAATGGGCCTCAACTGGTATCTTGCAAATTTATTAGCTTTCATTAAAAAAAAATATATATCAAATTGAGTGAAAAATGAAGGCTCCAGTGAATTGTGTACATACATAAAATTCCAATTTTGAACCACTGTTGATGGACTGCTCATTGGCACAAGGAAAAAGTTTAGTTGCTTGCATTTGTACATTTATTAGTAAAAACATATTGCCACACTAAGCATACGGCCACACCCATTTGAAGGTTTGGAAAGTTATTATGAGCATTAGTAATACAAGGTAGATATGTTTGAGAGTATCTTTCTAACATTCCTGCGAGGAATTCAACGGGTTCTGACCTCGTAAAGTTTATAAAATTAAAAATTTGATCATTTCAATCCGGGGAGACATTGTCTTCTACGAAAAGGTGACGAAAAGTGATGGGAAATGTTTGAAAAAATATTCAATTCCGAAATGTTGGTTTGCAATTTCTTGCGGCACTAAAATGTGAAAGTCGGGTTTTATATGTGAAACCCCATTCAAATAGTTAAACGCACACTCAGCGCAATTCATTGTAATTTACAAAATGAAAAGTAAATTTATAACCAGGAACACTTTAAAGTGAAATGGAATAATTTCACCTGAACTAATTTGGACATATTTAACCCGTTTTTTATTAAATAATTCGGTGTGGGAGAACAAGAGATATGGCGATCTCAACGATATTTTTTTCCGTAACTCTACATAAATCAGCGATGGGCAGAGAGAGCTTTTACTCTGCACGCGCCTATACAAAATGTTTAGAAAGCTGAAAAGAGCTTTGCCCGCAGGCAAGGCGAAATGCATAACATACCTTCTGCTTCCCTAATAAACCCTAAAAATGCCTCGCCAAGCACACTAGTTCGACTATATATGTTTTAAAGTTAACTAATCTTTGCCTAATCTACTTAGGGCACAAAGAAAGTGTTCGTCGTGAAGACAGGGTCGACATTCTGACTATATGTGATTTTACCAAATCAGTGCATATGTCAACGTAACAGGTTGTAAGCAGTTAGATACGCAGAGAGTATTAAACGGACTGCCAAAAAGGCCCCCATTTACTTTACCCCAATAATTACTGCATCCTAAGTATACCCACTAAGAACTTATAGCTCTCGAAGAATACCAACTGAGACCACAAAATTGTTCTTGTCCCACAAAGGCAGTTTAGGATGCTTCTCGTCGTCTCGTCGGCGACCTCGTTGACTTCGATCACACAGTGGCACAAATGTCAAATGTTGAATCGTATCAAAGCAGTATCAAGCAAGCCAGGATTTGATCATCCTGTTAGAGCGGGGCCGGATTTCCGCTTGACTAACTGAAAATAAGACTAATTCTCGCATTTGAATCCTTTTTTCAAGGTTTAGTTTCTTACAAAGAAATCCACTAGTATCGAACTGGAGTGATTCTAGTAAATTTATATAAATTTTTCTGCAAAAAATTAATAAAGTACAGAAAAACAAAACCAAATACCTAAAAAATTAACTCTATCTAGGCCTGCAGTCCAAACATTTCCATTTTCTGATCCTACCTAATGTTAGCATATGCACAAACACAAATACGCGTCTTTAATCATATATATTTTCAAAAACAAATTTTTTCATCAAGAAATTTGTATGTGAAAAGTTTTTCAAGAAAAAAATTGTTTTAAATATTTCTTTTCACAGAGAATTTTAATGTGTGTATGTGTGATTTTTTTCAAATTTTTTCCTCGCCCCGTTCTCGATATATTTGGAAAACTATTAAATCGATTTATTTTTGTTTTTGTGCTGTAAAGTTTTTAAAAATGTATTAATCAAGCTCAAATTGCATATTTATTTATTATTTATGTTTATGCATCATCCCTAAAAACTTGAAACACATGAAGGGTGAACCCCGTCCGTTTTGGTATGGAACGCCCCCAATACAAAGTACACACTTCTAACACTCCACAATGCCACTGTATGCGCTAGAAATTTATGCAATTTTCGTATTCTAAAACGTTTCATTGTTTCATTTGTTTTCATTCAGACTCGCGCCAAGAATCGATAACGTCTGCAAACTTTGTTTATGCTGACTTTTTGGCTTTGTGTAAATTGGCAAAAACAATAAGAACAATAAACAGCATTAGCAACCGAAAGCAAAAATATGATATTTTCTTTTGAATGCTTTTTTATCAATCCATCTTTACATAAATACTTACGTACGTAATACATACGCAGTTATGCAACACAACTAAAAACTTAGTTAGTCACAGTTTTGCAAGTCAAATAGTTATTTGAATGGAATAGGAAGTTTTGCTCGCATTACATACTCGTAGGGGAGTACCCGTCGTACTTTGGTTTGTATGTAGTTTAGTACTTTGTAGTTAGTAGTTTAGTACTTTAGTTTGTAGTGTGTATGTTTGCAAGTGAAAAGTTTCGGCACGAAGTAAGGGATTGAAATCGAATTAAATTTTCTGCTTTGCAAATGTGAATGCTTTGATTTTCGAAAGTTTTGTGGTGAGTTCTTCAACTAAAAGAACTATGAATTTCTGCAGTACATGGACGTATATACATACTAAACTTATGTAATGACTAACCGGAAAATTCATAAGTAGTAACGGCGCAGTATATGTATGTATGTCAATGGATCAGGAAGACCTTCGAAGGTATAAATCGAAGCACTACAAAGGGAATAAAACGGTTCCTCCCCTTTGTGTGACAACATCAAGACGCACGCCACAAATTGGAGGAGAAGCTCGGCCAAACACCAACATATATGAGTAAGCGGCAATCTATTATTATTATTATGCAGTACTTCACTGTTAGATAATTTGATACATTCGCATTTAAGGAATCGCCAAGCAAGATAAAAGCCTTTCGTGAGACAATTGTCAATTCTATTAACTATCTTGAAAGCTCTTTTCTTTCTTTCGAAAGGCTAACAAGGAGGCTTTATCGTTATTCTGTTTGCCTTTTTGCAATAATTAAAATTTAGTGAAATTAAAAAAATTATATTATATTTGTTTTTAAAAAAAATAATGGCTAAAACTTAAGAAAACTTAAAAGAAAATTTAATTGAAAATAGAAGAAAAGAAATTTATCAAAAAAGAAAAACTAATAAAATAAACTTCAAAAAATTAAATGATACTAACAAATACATTTCTTTTTAAAGCAATAAAATCCAAAAATTTAAATTAAATTTATTAAAAAGGAAAATATAATTAGTACCTAAAAATAAAATTAAATAACCAAATAGTAGTTTTTAAAATAATATAATCTGAAAACAAAAAGAAATAGTTGAAACAAAATAATCTAAAGAAATCAAAATTAAAAAAAATAAGTTCCTAAAAATGAAATGAAATTAAACAATAAATATTGCTCTTTTTTAAACAATAAAACTAAAAAATTAACAGAAAATATAATTATAAAAAAAAAAATTTAATGAAGGAAAAAAGAAAAACATATAAATTTCCAAAAATTTATTGAAATTAAAAAAATAATATTGTTATTGGGCTTTGCACAGCATTATGATTATTAAGAAAATTGGAAAAGCAACAATATTAAAATAAAATGTTAATAAGCCACAATAAAACTGAATAAAAAATAAAAAAAATTTAATGAAAAAGAGAAAAATTAAATAAAAATGAAATGAACCACACATGCATATGTATTTCTTTTTAAAACAATAAAATCTAAAAATAAAGGAAAAAAGCTAAAAATAATAGATTAAAAATAGAACGAAAAAATCCCCTTCCCGAGAACTCGCACCTGGGATCACTCGAATGACATGCCAGTGTTTTGTTCACTCGGCCATTGGGACTATTGGGGCAGCGCGAGCAAAATCATTCACAAACAAGTGCTTTCTGTCAAACATGCTTTTCGCTATGAAAAGTTTAAAGGGAGCTTTTTTGTGAGACTTTCTTGCCAGAATAAACAAAATCTTTCAAACTAACTTGCCGTCTTAAAAAGCCTTTCAACTATTTTAACCAGAACGGCCCTGTTAATCAAGTAATGTCACTCATACGCCTTGTAGTACATTGTACATAGTACATTTAGTAGAATGCAACAATACAGACATTTTGCCTATAAACAAATCCGATGTGCATAGGTGGGCGCACACTGCAGTCGGATGCAACAGGCGCACTATCGTGTGTTGAAGTGGAAAGCGAGACGGTTTTTTTTTTCTCAGAAATATGAAGGGAAGGCAGAAGGCGTGCGTACAAGAAGTTTGTGTGTTCAGCAGAGGTTGCCTTTTTTAGAAAAAAATTTTAAAACCTGCTTCAGTTGTAATAATTTAATAATCAAAGCTTTGGCGAGAAAAATACGCGATTAAAGGAAACTATCTAAATAAACCACATTCATTTTTAATGCAAATATAAGCCAATAGTGTCTTAAGGTTAAATTGTAGTGGCTGTATTCATACAAATTCTGAAGAAAACAAATTTATGTGATAAAAACTTAGTGTCTTAATAGTAACCACTTCTTTTCACATACTTTTTTATAAAGAAATAAGCAACTATATTAAAAATAACAGCAACGCACAGCAGACCCAAGCAATCCACCCAGTAAGTGTAATCGGCCGTTTTGAAAGAACCACGCTTTAGAACCTCCAAACCATTTTGCAAACACGGATGATCCAACTTTTTAGGGCAATCTGTATTCAAATGAGAGCATAAAATATATTTTAACAATCCTTATTTACTATAATTGATCATCAAAGTCGAATGCCATATTCTTACCGATCTCATCCACACCAATCCAAAAATTATACATCAAAGCCTCATTGGAATAGAAGAACAATGATAAATACTTAATTAACGGTATCGAGTCCACATTATAGTAAGCGCCACCAAATATTAGAAATAGTAAATCGAATGGTCCTGCGCATTCTGAAGCCATATTAACTGTCTCAAAGAAACTGGATAGAAAGAGACCGTAACCGGTAGCCGCAATAGCAGAAAGACCCAAAACTAAACCCATTGACAGGTAAAGCATAAAGCCTCTTGTATAGTAGACAGCACCATAGATAACCGAGAAGAATAAGTAACTTTTAAAGAAAGCCATCGGTACAAATGATAATACGACAGCCACATAATAGGCTGATAGACTGTAAGTGCCTTCGCCCACTTCACGTCGCATAATTGGCAGTGCGCTGGGAAACACATAGGTGACGCCATACGAGAAGGTGAATATCATTTCATTGGATACCATAAATATGGAGCCGGCAATATCTTGCACCGAAGTCTGTGTGAGGCCGCTTACACCCGAGTACATAATGGCAAGGGTCATTGAGGTAACCTGGAAACAATTTTCGTTTTTAGAAATTCTTTTTTAAAAGGAGCACACACAATTTTTTTTCTTACCATAAAAAGTCCCAGCGAAATGAGGCCACTTTTTATATTACGACTGTCATCTGTCATGAAGCGAATTAGTAGTAGGTACACTTGGTAGACCCAACGTATCTTCTTGCTGTAAGTGTTAAAAATTTTTTTTTTACATGAATTTATTCATTCTCTATTGGATGCATAATATTTACATATACATATAAAACATCATAGGTGAAGACTTGCAAGCAGAATTATGGCAGCGGCCAGGTCTCCTTTAAGGCATTTGAGAAGTGCATATAAGTAAATATTATATATAACCTGGACCTACTAATCAAATTCTATCTCACACAAAAACACTACACGAAACTAATCACTGGAATAAATATGAGCTAAAAATATGACGTAAATAACCCCGCAAAAGCGCATCATTGTTCCCTTTGCCAAAGGATATGAAAACCATTTGCCAAAGTTTCCACTAGGATCGGGCGGAATATACTATAGGGTTGGTTTGATGTAAACAATAAATTTGCAAATTACACTCTAGCCTGGTTTATATAAGGAGCCCTTATGTGAAAAGAGCACAACAACCATTTTATATCTATCCACTCCTCTGTGGTTACTGTGGGTTGAAAATCGTTGATTATTCTCGAAACAAAAACCTGCGTAGGTATTACCCAGGTAGAGGTTCTATCTTCTCTGTTATGGAACCTTTTGTTAAACGAAATTCTACTTCACACTACGTCAAAGGCTATTAAAGTAGTTCCATACTCAGAGGACTAACTTATTCTGCTCGTAGAGAAGTACAACTCGACGCTACAACCTGCACTTAACGACCTAAGTACAAGGTGGACAGAAAAAAAATGGTCTGGAGGTAATCCCCTTAAAACCGAACTGGTTCTGCTCATGAAACAATATAAGATAGGCATCTTGATCACCCAATGGCACATAAATAGAGGCAATGTTTCATGATTACAATTGAAAAGAACTGAAGTATAAGAACGCCGATAATAAATATGTCGAGTATGTACAGCGGTGGTTAGACATAGCAGTTGGTTTAATCTGCACACTGTACTGTATCGCACTCACATTGCCCACTGCGCTATGACTCTCAAACCGAATGTTCGGCCTCTCACTGGACTACCAACGGGATGGAACATTATTCATATGGACGCCAGATTCGGAGAACCGCATAACTTTTTCGGTAAAATCAGTAGAGATGGGGAATAGATGCACTGCCTATTCCAGTGCCCCGCCTGAAACAATTCCGGGTCCCTTATTCGAGAAGCTTTGTAGATGTCTTAGAAGATACGCCATTGCAGAAATATTTAAAAACATGTAGGTGCAATTCTCTGGAAAATCTCTCCTGAGTATCACAGTGATTCTGTGGGGTGTGCCATAGAACTTTAACTAAAACCGACCGTCTAGCCAGACCAAGCCTGCTAATTTTTGCACAAATCAATCAAATTTCCCGGCCCATGCCATTTTGTTTCAATAAATAATACAGCGTCAATCGCAATGATCGGCGTAGATACTCAGCTTTGTCATACCAATTAATACAATACAAATCGAATGTTTCGTACTAGGTTTCCTAACCAAATTACGGTATCGAAATCTCGAAATTCGCAAATGGAGCGACCAAAACAAAAGACTTCAATGTCCTAGAGCTTTTGTTTAATGCATTCTAAAATTTAAGAACTCCTAT